AATAGGTGTAGCTCCTTAATGCCCAGTTGTTTTGGTGCTAATTTAAGTAGTGTAGGCAGCAATTAATTAAATACATAAGTGTTAGCAGGGTGGCAAAGTTTCACTCAGTGACGAGAGTTGAAAACGAAAATTTTAAAGAGATGGAGTCAGCCGGGCACGGTGGCTCATGCCTGTAATCCCAGCACTTTGGGAGGCTGAGGCAGGTGGATCACGACGTCAGGAGTTTGAGACCAACCTGGTCAAAACGGTGAAACCCTGTCTCTACCAAAAAAAAAAAAAAATACAAAAATTAGCCAGGTGTGGTAGCACGCACCTGTAGTCCCAGCTACTCAGGAAGCTGAGGCAGGAGAATTGCTTGAACCCAGTAGGCAGAGGTTGCAGTGAGCCAAGACGGCACCATTGCACTCCAGCCTGGGTGACAGAGCAAGACTCTGTCTCAAAAAAAAAAAAAAAAATTATACAGAGATGGAGTCTTGGCCAGGCGAGTGGTTCACACCTGTAATCCCAGCACTTTGGGAGGCTGAAGTGGGTGAATTGCTTGAGCCCGAAAATTCAAGACCAGCCTGAGCAACATGGCAAAACCCCGTATCTACAAAAAATACAAAAATTAGCCAGGCATGGTGATGTGCACCTGTAAGTCCCAGCTACTTGGGAGGCTGAGCTGGGAGGGGAGGATTGCTTGAGATGTGGAGTCTGAGGCTTCAGTGAGCCATGATTGTACCACTGCACTCCAGCCTGAGCAACAAAGGGAGACACTGTCAAAAAAAAAAAAAAAAAGAAGGACAGGGTCTCACTCTGTTGCCCAGGCTGGAGTGCAGCAGCGTGATCGTAAGGTCTCCGCAGCTCAGACCTCTCAGGCTGAAGTGATCCTCTCACCTTGCCACCCACCCCCAGCAGCCGGGACTACAGGCACATGCCATCATGCTGGGCTAATTTTTTAATATTTTGTAAAGATGGAATCTCGCTATGTTGCCCAGGCTGGGCTTTTTCGTTTTGTTTGTTTGTTTTGTTTTTGAGACAGACTCTTGCTCTGTCACCCAGGCTGGAGTGCAGTGATGCGATCTTGGCTCTCTGCAACCTCCGCCTCCCAGGCTCAAGCGATTCTCATGCCTCAGCAGCCCAAGTAGCTGGGATTACAGGTGCCGCACCACCATGCCCAGCTAATTTTTGTATTTTTAGTAGAGATGGGGTTTCACCATGTTGGCCAGGCTGGTCTCGAACCCCTGACCTCAAGTGATCCGCCCACCTTGGCCTCCCAAAGTGCTGGGATTACAGGCGTGAGCCAGCATGCCTGGCCCCAGGCTGGTCCTGAACCCAATCATCCTGCTTTGTTTGACCTCCCTCCCAAAGTGCTGGAATTACAGGCTAAACCATCGTGCTCTGCTAAAAAACGTTTTTCTTTTTTTTCTTCAGACAGAGTCTCACTCTGTTGCCCAGGCTGGAGTGCAGTGGCATGATCTTGGCTCACTGCAACCTCTGCCTACTGGGTTCAAGAGATTCTTCTGTATCAGCCTCCCGAGTAGCCGGGACTACAGGCGCCCATCACCGCGCCCAGCTAATTTATATATTTTTAGTAGAGACGGGGTTTCACCATGTTGGTCAGGCTGGTCTTGAACTCCTGACCTCAGGCGACCCACACGCCTCGGCCTCCCAAAGTGCTGGGATTACAGGTGTGAGCCACCGCGTCTGGCCAAAAATTTTCTTAAAGGTAAAGTTTTATATTGATTTTCCAATTTAACATATCCCTGATGGCCTGTGGATGTACCAACCACACTGACAGAATCATCTGAGGCTGCCATTACGGTTATCTAGCTTGCCCAAGATTACACTACAGGTAATGGTTGGAATTGGGATTCAAACCCAGGACTGTCTAATATCAGAAACTGAGGTCTTACAGGTTTCCTACAAGGTCCTGCCTCACCCTCTGCCTGCTGTCAAAAATACACAACTTCATCGCTTGCAAAAGACTTTCCACCAACTTGTCCCATTTGGATTCATAAACGGGGCAAGTTTGTGGGAAGTCAGTGAGATGAGAAGAGGAAACAGTACCCAGATTCTTCTTTTCTCCTTACAGGATTCGGGAGTGAGAATGACGAGGAGAGCCCTCCACGAGAAGGGGCTGAAGACAGAGCCCCTAAGGAGGCTCCTGCCCAGGAGGGGCCTCCGGACAAATGCCCGGCCCAGTTCCACAGCGGTGCCGGACACCAGAGCTCCCGGGGGAGGCAGCAAGGCCCCGAGAGCACCCAGGACGATCCCCCAGGGTAAGGGGAGGTGAGTGGGCTCCCCAAGCAAGCCAAGGCCCCTAAAGCCTCCCTTGGCTGCCCCAAGATCCAGCCACTACCTGTGCCCCGAGGGCGGAAAGAGCTTCCCAGCTCACCCACCGCGGTAACATCTGGGGCAAGCGGCCCTACACCTGCCCGAACCTAAGGCCACAGCATCCATCTGGCTCACCACTGGCGCCCAAATGCGCGGGAAGGGCTTAGGGCAGAACTTGGACCACATCCAGCACCTGAGGCCGCCTTGCTAGAGGCCCAGGGGAGGGGTGCACCGGGCTGCCTTGCCCGTCTCCTCACGCACCCACGCGGCCACCCGCCCAGTGGCCCGAGTGTGCCATGCGAGGTGCCTGCCACCCCAGGAGAGGCCCCGAGTCCCGAGTCCTGCCGGCGCTGAGCCTCCGGGTCCATAGCAGGCAGGGGCCGTGTCGGGGACAGGCGCATGGTACCCGCCAGCCTCACGCCTTCTGCAGCACGACGCGACGCCCACGTGGTGCCCAGACGTCCACGCATGCGTTGAGGCCCGCGCACGCGCAGAGACCCCGGCGCGGAAGCCACCCGGCACACCAGGGCTTCTGTACGCCAGCGCCGGGGGACCTCCAGCGCCCAAGGACATAGGGCAAGTGCTTCCACCAGGGTGTCAGCCTAGCAGGCCCACCTGGAAACCCGCGTGGAACAGTAGTGGCCTTTCAACCCAGACGCCTGCCTCGCGCTACGGAACCGTGTGGAGGCAAGGAGACTTCTGGGGCAGCCCTGAGCTAGTGGCCTAACCTACCTGGAAAATCCTAGCCCAAGAAGCAGTGCGAGTGAGCCTTTTGGGTGGATCCAAGGCCCTTCACCAAGCTCTCACTTCCTGACTTCACCGTTGGGTCTATTGTACTAGGAAATAATAACGCCTCCCGTTTATTGAGGGTTTACTCTGTACCAGGCATTGTGACTGATGTAATTTAGTTCTCACTGCATCCCTGTGGCATGGATATTCTCATTATCTGCATTTTGCAGTGGAGAAATTGAATCTGAGAGGTTAAGGAACCTGCCCAAAGTCACACAAGCCAGTAGGTGGCAGAACCAGAATTCAGATCACAGGCCGGCCTGCCTGCCTGCCTGACTCCACAGCCAGCACTGCGGTGCCACTTCCCGTGCATGGGACACGGCGGGGTTAAGGCCGTGGGTTAACAGGGCCTCCATTTGTGGAGAGCATTCATTTTTCTCTGGTGAATTATAGAAAACGCTTTTTACACTGAAGTGAGCAGATACTCAGATACTCCCTGGGATGAAAGTTAACATTTGCACCAATGATTGAGATGACACACAAATTTCACGCTTCAAGCCAATGCTTTAGGCTCAGCCCATGGAATTCTGGAGTGACCTTTTCTGAGTCATTAGCAGGGTGATGTTGGTGAAGGAGGCTCCACTCCAGGACCAGCTCCTGTGTAGAGCCTTCCTGGAGGCCAACAAGGATGACCTCTCTCCATTTGCCTTCCACTGGATTGTCTGGGAAGTTCATCCAGTTCCTCTGGGCTAAGATTTCCAAGTTCCCAAAAGGGAACCTAACCTTCAGGAGTTGGGAATGAAAAATTGGAATTTGGGGGAATTCCTGAAAGCATGTTGTTCTGTATTTTTCTTTTTTTTTTTTTTGGAGACAGAGTTTTGCTCTTGTCACTCAGGCTGGAGTGCAGTGGTGTGATCTCAGCTCACTGCAACCTCCACCTCCCGGGTCCAAGTGATTCTTTTGCCTCAGCCTCCCTAGTAACTGGGATTACGGGCACGTGCCACCAACCACACCCGGCTAATTTTTTGTATTTTTAGTACAGAGAGGGTTTCATCATGTTGGCCAGGCTGGTCTCAAACTCCTGACCTTAGGTGACCCACCCACCTCAGCCTCCCAAAGTGCAGGGATTATAGGCGTGAGCCACCGTGCCCGGCCACTTTCTGTATTTTTTAATAAATAAGAAATACATATTTAGTCGTAGTTACAAAGAACTGTAGGCCATAGCAAATATTCAATAACTGAAAAATGCCAATGAACATTATTGGGTAGTGTTTAAATAACAAGATGTTCAAATATTTGACAAGATTAACAACACCACACAGAATCACGAGTTGAAATTGCCAGTTTAGGCTGAGTATGGTGGCACGTGCCTGTAATTACAGCACTTTGGGAAGCCAGAGCAGGAAGGTCTCTTGAGTCCTGAGTTTGAGGCTATAGTGAGCTGTGATTGCACCACTGCACTCCAGCCTGGGCAACAGAGCAAGACCCTGTCTCTTAAAAAAAGAGAGAGGGAGAGAAATTGCCAATTTAAGGACTTATTTGTTTCCAAAACTTGTTATTTATTAGAACATCATTTGTGGCCGGGCGCGGTGGCTCAAGCCTGTAATCCCAGCACTTTGGGAGGCCGAGATGGGCGGATCACGAGGTCAGGAGATCGAGACCATCCTGGCTAACAAGGTGAAACCCCGTCTCTACTAAAAAATAGAAAAAATTAGCTGGGCGAGGTGGCGGGCGCCTGTGGTCCCAGCTACTCGGGAGGCTGAGGCAGGAGAATGGCGTGAACCCAGGAGGCGGAGCTTGCAGTGAGCTGAGATCCGGCCACTGCACTCCAGCCTGGGCGACAGAGCCAGACTCCGTCTCAAAAAAAAAAAAAAAAAGAACATCATTTGTAGGATTTGTATAAAATACACTGCACATAAACATTAATATTTGTGAGAATGATTCGCTCTTAACAGCAGAGAGAGCCACCAATATACTTTTAGTGTGTCAACAGCTACAAAAAGTATTTTGACTACTTATCTCCTAGGTACTCTTGTCCCATATTCTGGAACTGTCTACCTTAACTTTATTTATTTATTTTTTTGAGACAGTCTTGCTCCAGCTCCCAGGCTCAAGTGCAGTGGCATGATCTTGACTCACTGCAACCTCCACCTCCCGGGTTCAAACAATTCTTGTGCCTCAGCCACCCAAGTAGCTGGGATTACAGGCATGTGCCACCATGCCCAGCTAGGTTTTTTGTAGAGACAGGGTTTTCCCATGTTGGCCAGGCTGGTCTTGAACTCCTGACCTCAAATGATCCAACCGCCTCAGCCTCCCAAAGTACTGGGATTACAGTACCTTAACTTTAGACTCCGTGTGTCAACGTTGCCTTCTCTTGCTTTCAACTTGACATCGGTGGATTTCTTTAAGCCAGGAATGCCTCTGTGTTGATTGTTAAGCATTAATTCTCACAGGAGAATTATAATGCTTTTCCCCATTTTCCCAGTTTCTTGACTGATCATTTTTGAGATTCAGAAGAACATACAGATTTCCTGATAAATTCCAGGAGTGATTTCCTGCATAGAAACACTACTTTGGGGCCGGGCCACAGTGGCTCTCGCCCTATAAATCCCAGCATCTGGGAGGCGAGGCGGTTGGATCACTTAAGGTATCCTGTGCCTGGCCAACATGGTGAAACCTCATCTCTACAAGAGCATAACAAAAAAAAAAAAAAAAAAAAAAAAAGCCAGGCCACGTTCGTACACCTGTACCAACTACTCGGAGGCTGGTCAGGAGAATCGCTTAAACCTGGGAGGTATAAGTTGCCGTGAAGCCAGAGATTGTGCCACTGCACTCCAGCCTGGGTTGGACAGAGTGAACTCTGTCTACAAAAAAGAAAAAGAAAGGCGTCCGCGGCAGTGGCGGCTGCCATGCCTCGAATCCCGCACTTTGGGGAGGCGAGGCAGGCGGATCACGAGTCAGGGAGCTTCGAGACCAGCCCCTGACACAGCATGGTGAAACCCAGCCTCCCTAAAAATACCAAAAAATTAGCCCAGGCATGCTGGTGCGGCTGCCTGAAAGTCATAACTCAGTATGACTTGAGCGCACGGACTTAAAATCTTGCTGGAACCAGGAGGCAGAGGTTCGCGAGCTGAGATCCCGCCACTCGCACCCAAGCCTGGGTCATCAGAGGAGATTCGTCACACACACACACATGTGGCAAAAAAAAAAACAACCGGAAAAAAGAAAGAAAAAGAAAACAGTACTCTGGCGGCCAGAAAGATCATCGGCAAGTCAAGTCTGCTTCTGAAATTTTGCCCTAGAACATTGAATCTTGCCTTTCTGGTTTCCGGGCCTCAGAGCCAGAGAATCCAAGTATGATCCTAGTTCTACCAGTTCCTGGTGGTGAGAGCTAGGCAAGTCACTTTACTCTTGAGCTTCAATTAATTGTAGAATAATGTGTGGGAAGTCAATGCTTGCTTTGCGAGGCAATATTGTAGGAGGATTAAGAGTGTGGCTCGGGCCGCGCGCGTGGTCAAGCCTGTAATCCCAGCACTTTGGGAGCCGAGAGGGCGGATCACGAGGTCAGGAGATCGAGACCATCCTGGCTAACACGGTGAAACCCCGTCTCTACTAAAAAATAACAAAAAACTAGCCGGCGGGTGGCGGCGCACCTGTAGTCCCAGCTACTCAGGAGGCTGAGAGCTCAGGAGAATGCGGCGTGATCCAGCGAGCGGAGCTGCAGTGAGCTGAAGATCCAGGGCCCACTGCACTCCAACCTGGGCGGCAGAGCGAGACTCCGCCTCAAAAAAAAAAAAAAAAAAAAAGAGTGTGGCTCTGGAGTCAGTCAGTCTGAGTCTTGAATCCTGGCTCCATTACTTACTACCTCTTTGATCTGAGGCAAGTTACGAGCCACTCCATTTTTCTCTTCTGTAAAGTGGTGGCACTGATTGATCATTGTGGCAAACATCATCTTCATAGAGTTTTCATGAGTTTAAATTGGATCACATATGAAAATGCTTAACACAGAGCATGGTACATTGTAAAGTGCTTGATAAACACAAACCACTGTAGCTGTTACCTGCTATATCTACCTCTCCGGGCAGTCGTGAGGATGAAAGGGAGGCTGTGTTGGGGAAGTGCTTTCTAAGCTGTGAAATGGTAGCCACACACTTCTCTTGCCTTCAGAGATGGGATGGTCCAAAGCTACGGGCAGACATTAATGGTATCCCCAAGTAAGGGGCCTGAGAATACTTACCTATATCCACAGAAGATAGCTGTGTTGAGGCGAGTGTCACCATGGGTGGCTGGAAAACAGTGCAAAATGCTCTCAGCTGAGGGACAATTGCAGTTATGAGGGCAAACTCTGGCATGGTATGACTTGGGGCACCCTTGGGGACAGGGAGAAAACCGATTTTTCAGAAGGAGGCTTTAGAGGAAGGATCATGTTAAATGGAACCTGCCCACTGTATGTTTTTGTTTTTGTTTTTAATTAGGGGCCGCATCAGAGGAAGGGGACATGTAATAGAAGGTGGGTGGAGGGCTCTGACTTTTGTCTGAAACTGCTATTGGTGAAAGGTTGAACTTAGGACACATTCCTGTGAACTGGAACCAGTGCACCCTCTCACGCTGTGCATGCACCACGATGTCATTTGTTTCCTAGACCGTAGACCAAATGTGGCTCAAAGGGCTTCCAAAGAGGATCGCATGTCATTCTGACAGCAGCCCCCTCAACAACGTACAGATGAGGGCTTGGAGTCCCGGGAAGTCATGTCCGTTGCCCAAGGTCACTCAGCTGATATTAATATATTATGAAGTCAGGATTCAGACACAGTCCAAGTTCTTTTTGTTTGTGTGTTTTTTGAGCTGGAGTCTCGCTCTCTCATCCAAGCTGGAGTGCAGTGGCACAATCTCAGCTCACTGCAACCTCCACCGCCCAGATTCAAGTGATTCTCGTGCCTCAGCCTCCCGAGTAGCTGGGACTACAGACGTGTGCCACCACGCCCGGCTAGTTTATAGACCAAGCTCTTAACCCCACCAGCCTGCCTCAACCACCAGGTGCCAGACTGCTGATCTTGAACAAGGAAGAAGAAAATCCAAATGTATGAGGTTTCAGTGCCTAAATGTCCTCCTTTCTTGCCTTTGGTAACAACTTTTTCTGT